CATGGTTAACTGTGGGTAAATGAAACCATGGATGGGAGGGGGGGGGTGCTATGCTTATTCGATGGAATAGTATACAGCCATAAAAATAAGCAGACCATTGCTACCTGCAACGTCCTGCATGACTCTCACTAGCAACGCTGAATGAAAGGAACCACATGTGAAAGAGCATGTGTTACATGTGACCATTTATATAAAGTTCAAACCCGGGCAAAATTAATCTATAGTGACAGATGACAATGGCCGTCGCCTTCAGGGGGCGGTAACATACAGGAGCCCCTGGGGGCTGGTAATGCCTGCTTCTTGATTTGAGGGCTGGTTCTATGGATCAGTCTGTGAGAGTGTGATCTGTACAGTCATGTGCGCTTCCTATGTGTATGTTATATGTTAAAAAGATGCGTCGGCACAAAACCTCAACTTCCTTAACAGTGATCCTGCTTTTTTTTGCAGTTTGATGAACAATGTGAGCTGAAAGCCATCGAGAAAGAGAAGACGGTGGCAGCTCTGCCACCCAAGGAGGCGAGCAAGTACCGCAGAGAGGATTTGGCCGAAGCGTTTCTCGTGAGAATTGGATTTGCATTCGATGCTGGTTGTGGGAAAGTTTTTAGATGCACCTGAAAGCTGCTTTAGAATTCTGTGCTATGAGACATTTTTATTATCATTGTTATAAAGAAATACTGTCGACATTGAACTGTCCCCTTTCCCATGTGGAATATTATCAACACTGATGTCAACAAGCCACCCTCATGCGGCCCTTCCCAGAGATGGGCGCCCCCAGGCACTCAGTTACATGTTTCTCTTGATCAGAGACACAGAGAAGCCGTAGCCCATGAATCCGGGTGTTTTGACATCAAAGCTCAAACTCTTAGCTATCCCCTATTCACACCCTTCATCTTTTATCATCCACAGTGTTGCTAATTCCAGAAACTAAATTCTCACAAGTTTCTCGAGTGAATTTGAATTCCAAGCCAGTGCAAAACTAAAAAACAAAAAAAAATCCCACAAAAAAACAAAAGACAAAAAAACACCCCTCTCCATGGAGCTCTCTTCTGAGGCTGAAGGATGTTGCCTGTTTCATGTTTTTAATTTTCCTTACCTAGAAAACTGAGCAAACATGATGCTGTGTTTGGGTGTTCACTCGTAACCCACTACACTTGGGGAAAGCAAATAAAAATTCACTAATAAGAGGGCACGTGCTACAATTTCAAGGAAGTTGGATCTCAGTGTTTCATGCTCCTCTTTCCTTGAGAATAATTTAAAAGTCTGTTTAAATTCAAGTCCTGCTTGTTAGTATTAGGAGAGGGGAAGGAAATATTTTTTGCCCTATCTAGAAAATACGTTTGATTTTCTTTCTCTATTAAAAGGAACCTAGAGATCAATTCAGTTTTCCCTGTCACCTCTACCGCCTGGGAGAGCTGTCCTGTCAACTTTTTAAAAACAAGGATACCTTTGCTGCAACCAGAACAACAAACTTTCCTTACACAATTACTGACTCAAATGAGCTATTTCAACGTGAGTTTGGCTAAAGAGCTTGAAATTGTATCAGGCACAGTGTGTGCGCGATGTAATAATTTTAGCTAGTATTCTTTCTAGGAGCAGGCTTTTCTTCTGTTGGTTGGTTGTTGTCTTTTTTAATTTTATTTTTAACCGTGGTAAAATGCACAACATAAAATTTCCCATCGTAAGCATTTGCAAGTGTAAGTTCAGTAGTGATGAGTGCATTCCCATGGTTGTGCAGCCAAGCTCCAGAACTCTCTTCACCTTGCGAAACTCTGCACCCACTGAAGAATAACTCCGCACTGCTGCGGCTTCCACCTTTGGGCTCTCGAGGCTAATGCTGCTATAAACACACAGCACAAATATCTCTCCCAGATCCACTTCCAGCTCTTTTGCTGTATCTACACCCAGAAGTGAAATTGCTGGATCCTGTGATAGTTCTATTGTAATATTTTGGGGAGATTCCATCCTGTTTTTTACACTGGCTGTACCGTTTTTACATTCCCAAGGCCTGTGTTTTTCAAGTAGAGAATGTGTTTCTGCATTTCCCTGCGACAGTTGCACTTGTGGACATTTAGGCCCAGGGTTGTTTTTCCCCGCTGTAATTGTAGGGCAGGAGTGCGGTCTAATTGAAAAAGAGCTGGTCTCTCTTAGCCCCTATGTGCTTGCAGCCTTTGATCACGCAGGTGGCTGCTCCCAGCGTGGGGATTCTGTGGCCCGGGCCCCTCGGTGTTTGCTGGCCCACCCGTGAGCTTGCTCTTGACCGTGCCCTTCCAGGTGGACTTGCAGAACGGGCTGTCGGAGTTCTCGGTGACGCAGCGCAGGCTGGTCCACGGCTGGAACGAGTTTGTCGCTGACAACACGGAACCCATGTGGAAGAAGTATCTTGATCAGGTAGGACCGTGGGCCTCATTCCTGCGACTGCAACGGGAGGGCGGCCAGTCCTTCATTCTTTGCATGTTCACTGAGGGTGGCCTTGGACCAGTCCCAGGGCGTGGGGTGGCTGTCCTACAGAGATAGGAGAGGCTCCCCTTCACGCAGGCTGCTCTCAGCCAGCAGAGGGACAGCCACGACTACATCACTAACCACCCAGGCGGCCATGATCAGCAATGGTAGTTACATTCATAGAGGGTTTTCCAGCTGGTAGGCACCATGCTAACTGGGTAAGTAAGTAAACATTAGCTCACTTTATCTCCCTCCTAATCTCCATTTTGACATGANCCTGGTAGACACCATGCTAACTGGGTAAGTAAGTAAACATTAGCTCACTTTATCTCCCCCCTAATCTCCATTTTGACATGAGAAGGGTGACTGTAAAGGCATGGAAATATTTCTCCAGGCTGTGTAGGGTTGCCAGACTTAGCAAATAGAGACACAGAATGTCCTGTTAAATTTGAATTTTAGATAGATAAACAAAAAATAATCTTTTAGCATAAGTAGATCCCAAATGTTGCATGGGACCTACTTCTACAAAAAAAAAAGGGGGGGGGTTGTTTATCTGAAATTCAGATTTTACTGGGTGTCCTGTTGTTTATCTGGCAACTGCAGCCCAAGGTCACACAGCCGTAAGTGGCAATGCTGGGCAGTGAGCCAGGCGCCTGGCTCCAGGGCCCCTGCAACTTGTTCATGTTGTGGTTGGTGCAGGCAGGGTGCTGAATGCAGAGTACACGAATCAAATGCCTGGAAGCCACTAGAAAGAGGAAAGAGAAATTTGAAATAGACACGGCTACAGGTTCCAGTCTAGAAGTGAACATCCCCATCGCCCACCAGTAGTAGTTCAGAAAGCCCCAGTTAGCAGGCAGAACTTCCCAGATACCTGAAGGCATTCCGATTGCCTTGGTTTCCCCTCCCTGGCCTTCTGGGCCCCTTCTCCGGTCCTGATACCCCCCACCCCATCCAGCCTGGAGCTGCCTTCTGTTGGCTCAGCGTTTAAAGCTTTCTTGATTGGTTGGCTCAAGGGCAGTCACAGCACTCCTGCAGCATCGCCGCCCTCCCCTCTCCTCCAGTCCCCACCGCCTCATTAGCTGGCTCTCAGTGCACTGGGGATGTCTGACATTGATCCATGTTGGCAGCAAAATAGTCTTCTGGGTGCAGGTGGCTCTGGTTAGCCCAGAAGCTTCCTGGAACCCCAGTGTTGGAAGGAGGTGGTGGAGGTTCCTGGAATTTGGAGTTCAGGGAATGAGGTTGACACACTGTCTGTGGAGCACACTTTCCTCCTCAGTTCTGCCCTGCCTGCCCCTTCCACTAGGACCCACTCCCACAGTTCCCCAGCCTTCCTCCTTCCTGCCTCTGCCCTGTCAACACCTCCCACCAAGGGCTCTCCTCCAGCCTCCAGCCAGGGCCTTTCCAGAAATAAAATCTCTTTATAAGAGGCGGGGATATGTTTACTCACCTTAACCTTCTCAGTTCAGGGGTCCATCTGTGGGAATCTTTGCACGATTAGAAGGCGGCTCCTAATGGCTGTGTTTCATTCCCACCCCCTTGATGAGTACAGAGAGCCCATCTGCCCTCGCTTATTAGCTCTTCACATCCGCTGAGCACCTGTCATGCACTGGACATTGTGCTTCTCCTGTGTGTCTCCTCCAGTGACGGGGAACTCATCACTTCACAAGGCAGCTCTACTTCTCTAGCTCAGGAGACTCACCATTAGGAATTCTTACCTGAGCATGACCCAAGACATGCTGCCCTGGAGTCATGAGTCAGGCTGTCAGGGTTCAAATCCCTCTTTTCAGCCTCGGGACTTTGAGCAAGTTATTGAACTTCCTTGAGCCCCAATTTTCCCCATCTAGAAAATAGGACTAATAAGCACTGTTCTGAATTTTACATAAGAAGAAGCTTTGCCCGCACTAAGTTGCTCAATAAAAGTTGTCCCACCCCCGTTCCATAGCTATAAGTTGGCCCTGATTGGAGCGTAGCAGTGAAGTGCACAGTCTGACCTCCGTGAATCCTTGGGAAATTCAGTTTCTTTCATAGCCTCTGGTTGCTCGCATATCGAGCGGGAATAAGCACAGGTACATGCGCCTAATGGACATTGGTGGTTTTTATTGTTACTGTTTCTCCCGTGAATGACCAGTTCCCCTGCACAGTGAGGTTGCAGCAAACCCCTTGCTGCTTGTCTCCCTGTGCCTGCGAACTTAGAAGGGGGTCCACGAGCCAAGAGGGGTCTGATTATCCATGGCCAGAGCAGCACTGCTGCCACATGGTGTGTTCTTCCCGCTGGGTCTGTCACCTGTTTGCCGTGGGACCCTCAGGAAGCCAATGTCAAAGAAAACCCAGTGGGGACATTTCAAGCGGAGAACCATGGGTGGCGATGGCCCTTCTCCCCCAGCCCTTGGCCCACTGTAGTTGTTAGCCTGGAATCCTGTCTGTAAGAAACTGCATCACACATGCTGCTGCACAGTAAGAAACCCAGAGAACCCAGGCACCTGCTTTAATGTTTCAGTTTAAGAACCCCCTGATCCTGCTGCTGCTGGCCTCCGCCTTGGTGAGCATCCTAACGAAGAACTATGAGGACGCCGTCAGCATCGCCATGGTGAGTGCGCCCCCCGGGGAGCAGCCCCGGCCCCCAGACCCGGCTGCTTGGGTTTGCCGAGTGTTTGCTTATTTCTTATGCAAGGAAAAAACAAGTTTGGCTGTAGAGAAAAAGGTAGAAAATGCAGCAGAAAGAAAGGAGAGCAAATCCACCTCCCTATGGAGGTGTCCTGGCTTATTTGGCCATTGCTCCTTGGTGGACACCCAGGGGGCTTCTGTTCTTTGCTGTTGGGACCCTGTTGCAATGAGTTCCCCTCCCAGGACTTGGGATGGAATTGGCTCGAGCTGCCTGTGCATGCGGTACAAAGAATAACTTTATAATCTGTTACCTAGAGAGGACCACTAAACACCTATTTAAAATAATAATTTTTTTAATTTCGGTGGAAAATCACATAATAAGAAATCAATGATTTTAAAGTGAACAATTCAGTGGCATTTAGTGCATCACAATGTTGCACGACCACCCCCTCTATCTCGTTCTAAAACATTTTCAGTGCCCTAAATGGAAGCCGCACACTCATTAAACAGTCACTCGCCCATTTCCCCGCCTTGGCCCCTGACAACCACGGGTCTGCTTTCTGTCTCTGTGCATCTACCAGTTCTGGATATTTTCTATAAATGGAATCACACGATATGGGACCTCTTATGTCTGGCTTCCACCGAACACCTTTGGATAGATGTCATCTGGCTTCCTTTTATCTGTCAAGTACTCTTTTAAAATACAAAAACAGAATCATTCCACGCTATGCAATTTGCTGCTTCTGTTTAAAAGGCTGAGGTTAGATCCACATCTTCTGATGTGGACTCGTGTGTACAGTATGTTGTTGAGTGAAAGGGCAATTTATAAAAGAATATGTCTGTACTATAGGACCCTATGTTATAAATGCGTCTCTGCAGAGAAATCTAGAGGGCTGCCCCAAAATGTGAACCTCTCGTGGTGGGATTTGGGGTGATTTTTTCTTTTTTTTTTTTGCCTATCTCTTTTCTAAGTTTCTGCACAGTACACTTATTTTGCATGAAAAAAGGGAATATTTTGAAAGACAGTGACCTCCCCTCACCTCCCGTGGACACTCTCGCTAGCTGCGTAGATGGGTGTTAATGCCCTTCCCGTTTGATCCCTAGGCCGTGCTGATCGTGGTCACTGTCGCCTTCATCCAGGTGTGTACTTATTTCTGGAGGGCCGGGTTGGGGTGAGCCGGGCATGGCGGGAGCTCTGTGGAATTCCCACCTTTGAACAGCATGTTTGATGTGTTTCCTGTCAGGAGTACAGGTCGGAGAAATCTCTAGAAGAGCTGACCAAGCTGGTTCCTCCCGAATGTAACTGGTAAGTCAGAGACCCCCTTGGACTTTTTGGTTCATCAGAGGAGCCAGTGGGCTGGTGGTTGGTTGAGTTGGGCAAAATTTGTATCCCTTGTAGTGTAACAGGAGAACCATGTGTTGCTGCAGTTCTGGCCTGGTCTCCGTCCTGCCAGTGGATTACCTGTGTCCTTGGGCGTGCCGCTCGACCTCTCTGGGCCTGCATTCTGTCATTAGCATCTAATCAGGGTGCCTAGCCTGGGGGCCGTGGGCGATGGAAATGGCTTCAGGAAGAGGGTGGCCCGTGAAACCTGTCATACACTGCAAAACTGTGCGTTTTTCCAAAAGAAAGCACGTAGAGGTTTCAGGGGACTCCTAAAGGGTGGACTTGGGGCTGAGACGCGGGGCTTTAGCCGGCCAAGGCATCAGGACATTGGTTGGGGCGGGACGACATGAGGAATGAACTCTGGGTGTTTGCTCAGCAGCCCTCCAGCCTCTCTCCTGCGCAGACATTTCCACGTTGCTGCTTGTCAGCACGCAGCCCTTACCAAAGATGTTTAAAAAGGAAAAAGGCAAAAATACCTGTCAGTACCTCATGGGCATTTCTGCTTAGTGCAGTGCTACGCGGCAGAACTTTCTGGAATGTCCTGTACTCTGCGCCGTCCGGGACAGCATCACTAGTCACATATGGTTACTGGGGACTTCACGTGTGTCAGGGCAAGTGTTCCATGATCTGAGGTGTTTTGGAAGGACTTCAACATACAGGAACTATTTTTCTGAAGGATAATTCTTGGGAAAGAACCTTAGCATATATTTGAGTGTATGTGGCACCACTGAGCCACAGGTCTGGCGGATAGAAAGAGCTGGTGAGATAGAGTCCCACCTCTCAAGGAATCAGCAGGCGTGTGTGTGTGTGTGTGTGTGTGTGTGTGTGTAACATAGGCAGAGATGGTGAGTAACAAAACAGACAAAAAGAGCATAATGTGGAGGCGTGAGAGAGGCTGAGTCAATTCTAGAAGGGTCACTGGGGGCAGTAAAGATGTCTGGGCTTAATAATGGGATGACCAAGGCTGTCAGAAATCCAGGTGTGTGATGTGAGACATAGTCATGTGAGCAAAGGAAAGCGTAAATGATTGATGTGGTTTAACGATCTGATCTTAAGCTTAAATATCAAGTCTTGACCTTTTAGATGAATAGATACATTATTGATGTCCTCAGAAGTTTTGCTTCTAAAAGACATTTTATTTTCAAAAGCAGCAGTGGCAGGCAGCCTGGTAGAGTTGAAAGAGCACTGAAGATATACAGCCTCACTCTCTGAGTCTCCAAGGCCTGTTTTACAAATTAGGAGAAACACTTGCCATGCAGACCCTTCCTGTATTACCTCCATCCTTTGTGCAGTCATTAAGTATTTATTGAACGCCTACCGTGTGCTGGGAGAAATAGTGCTGGGGCTACAATTGGTGAATAAGATTTTGGAGCGCAGCAGGTGCATTAAAGCCAAAAGACTCCCCCAACACCCAAAGCCACACAAAAATGAAAACAAAAACCGCACAGAGATGCAGTAGTGACTGGTGGAGGGGTGGGGACAACTTTAAATAGCTGGCGATCAGGCCACCCTGATCTGACATTTAAGGAAAAGCTGATGCTTAAGTTGAGGCCTGAGAAAGAGAAGGAGCCAGCCATGGGAAGAGCTGAGGGAGCAGCAGGCGTATATCAGATAGGTGCTCTTGGCTACAAGGAACAGAAAACTCAGCTGCACAAACCACAAGGACATTGTATCATCTCATGGCAAGGGATCTGAGGTGGGAGGCAGTGGGGTTAATTAATTCAAGATGGCACCAAGGACCTGGCCCTTTTATTTCTTTACTCTGCCATCCTTAGCATGTTGACTTTGTTCTCTGGCTAGTTCCCCTCATGATCCCAAGATGACTGCCACAGCTCCGGGCATCACAGCCAGACATGAAAAGTCAAACGGAAGAAGAAGCTGTGTGTGTGTGTGTGTGTGTGTGTGTGTGTGTGTATTTACAGATACATGAACCCCTTCAAATGTCCACTCATGTCTCAGGCCAGTGTTATAGACTGTGCCTGTGCACAGGAGGCGAGATCACGCCAATGATCTCAGCCAGTTAGGGCCCATCCCTAGAGCACACAGTTGTGGGGGCAGGGTGGATACCTGAACAAGACTGAATTCTGTTATCAAGGAAGAAGGGAATGTCTGCTCCAGCATTCAGGGTCACCTGAGACCTTGAGACTAGAAAGAGTTGGGTGTGTTCAAGGGCTGGCTGGTGTGGGGAGGGAGCAGCAGGAGGTAAGGAAGAGGCAGGTCCAGGTCAAGAGGGCCTTAGCAGGGCTTTTGGGTTTGATTCCAAGGTCATTGGAAAGCCGTTGGACAGTTTGAAGCAGGAGGGAGTTCTGATCTCATTTGTGTCTTAAGAGCTGTCCGTCTGGCATGTGCAGGATGGATTAAAGGAGGCCAGAGGGGAGGCCGCTGCAGCGTCCGCTGTGGTGGGGTTCCAGTTGGAACCTGTGCACAAAAGCACACCCCCTGTCTAAAGGGGGATGGCCATGAGGAAGGGTCATGGCCCTGTGGGAAGCTGGTCCTGGGCTTCTCGGACCCTTAAGATGCTCCTTCCGGCTCGGACAAGGCTCTGCCATCCCTGAGATCTCAAGCCAGCTCTGCACACCTGAGCGGTGTCTTTCCTGAGGGTACAAGCTACTGGCTCCACTAAGGGAGCTTTAGAACCGCTGACCTAGCCCTGCAGAAGCTTCTGGAGGCCAAGTGGCCCAGCCTTGTTTCCCGGCAGAGTAAACAGTGAAAGCCCCATGTTTCAGATGAGGGCCAGGGTCTCCCAGAAACCACACCCTTTTCCAAAAAATCTTTTAGGCTCCATGAATTTAAAAAAATAACACCACCACAAAGGCACAAAGGTTTGTCCATAACTGAAAGAGGAAGTGCGTTTCTATCTTTGCTCAAATTTATCAAAGTGCATAAAGATGGCATGTCAACACGGTGCTTTTGCTTTTTACCATGTCAAACGCAGCATAAGAGAAGGGAAACTCCAGCACCTGCTCGCCCGAGACCTGGTTCCCGGAGACATCGTGTCTCTCTCAATCGGAGACCGGATCCCTGCAGACATTCGTCTCACTGAGGTGAGGGGTCCTCCACCCTGGTTGATGGGATAGGCACACACTTAGCTTACCAGAGGCAGACAGTCTCTCTCTCACGCATGCACATGTGCACGTACACATGCATGCACACATGCACGCACATGCAACAAACACGTCAGGGAGTTAGCAAACAAGCTCATTTTGCCCTGGCTGGTTTGGGTCAGTGGTTAGAGCATTGGCCCGAGCACTGAAGGGTCACAGATTTGATTCCCAGTCAAGGGCATGTACCTGAGTTGCAGGTTTGATCCCTGGCCCCGGTTGGGCGAGTGTGGGAGGCGACCAATTGTTCTGTCTCTCTCATATCGATGTTTCTCTCTCTCTCTGTCTCTCTCTCTCCCCCTCCTTCCCTCCATTCCACTCTCTCTAATGGAAAAAATATCCTCGGGTGAGGGTTAACAAAAATAATAATAACAAATCTAATTTTAAGCACAAAGCTCTTCAAACTGTATTTCATAAATTAATTACTCTCATTTTAACTCTAACCCTAACAAATTTTGGTTGTTGACTCTAGTTGATAGCAGGCAGCATCAGCAAATGGAACTGGGGTGGGGTCAAGGAACGAGGCAAATGTTCCTTCTAGAAACAGCCACAGTGATGTCAGAAAGAGATGCTGTCAGACTGCTCAGGAACCAGAAGGGAGCCAGAGCTGGTGGAGATAAAAAGTAGCCCAGTTTTGGGGACACGGTTGCCCAGTTGGGGGACACGGGTGTGGGCAAGCTGCTTCCCCAGCCTCTGGGCGCCAGGCCACGCAGCTGCACAGCACAGCGCCCCAGGCGCTCCCCGATAACCCTGCACTCTCAGCAGAGGTTAAATCAAGTTCAGAGGGATCCGTTGACAGGAGCCATCTATTTTATGATTCTTTTCAAGAATGCTTAAGAGTTGTTCAAAGCTTCTAGTGATAAAGGATTAAGCGCAGGTTATCTGCCCGATTTATTTATTTTCTCGGCAATGGCAGGATTAATGGCATGCTGTTAAAAGGGTGGCGGGGAGGGCAGGGGATGGAGAGAGGTGAAGAGCCAGGAGCCAGCCCCTGGGCCTGTGTTTCCAGCATTCTGGCCAGGCTTTGAAGTGGAGGCGGGGGCCAGAGGGCCTCGGGCTTTCCCTCCCCTCTGCCCCAACTTTCAGATTTCCAGACAGGCCAGGGGTGGGGGGAATGGGGGGGCTGGGGGCATTCTCTCAGGCTCATGCGGGTGCCCCTTCCTGCACCAGAAGTGATTCCTCACCATCCACCCTTCCCTGTGCCAGCACTCAGTGTGCAGGTCTGGGGCACTTGGGGCCCATTAGAGAAACCATTGTCCCCTGGGAAAGCTGGGAGACTAGTCTGAAACATTGTTCACTTCTCCACCGAGAGGGGGCTCTGGCTCCCAGTGTGGGGGTTCCAGAGGGACAGGGTGGGTCCTGATGGTGGGCAGCCCAGCGGTAAGGAGGATTCTGCCACAGGTGCTATGGAGAGGCAGTGCTCCAAGTGGTCAGTGCCCTGAGGCTGGGTGTCAGCCTGGCTTCGAACCTGATGCCTCTCATTCACAAGCTGTGTGACCTGCAGCAAGTTACTTAGCCTCTCTGTGCCTCAGTTTCCGCCTCTGTAAAATGAGTGGGGCTGGGGGGGGGGG